AAATTTAATACTTTTCAACCAGCTTAAGCCCCCAGCTCATATCCTCACAATGCTTCACATGAGGAACAACATCACCTGTATCCACACCTCTTCTCATTTTACAGTCATAAAACGGCGGAGCATGAAAACACGGCTCGATCGACATGGCTCGACGACATGGCGGATTAGGAGCCGTCCGATTTTCCGGCTTGTAAAGTATCCATGGCTTGAGCCCACCGAGCCCCTGAGCCACATACCCAAAAGTCGACCAAGAACTCGTCACTAACTTATCCGTTAAGCTCAACAAATACATTTCGGCCCACGCCTTTCGATTATGATTCCTCTTTCCCGTTTGTTGATACCCCTCGTGGCTCGGTTGATAAACCCTAATAATCTCGCCCGTGAAAGTAGGGTTTTCCCAATACAAGTCTCTCACTTGTTCGAAATATCCCGGGCTTAAAGAAGTCACGAGCACGGCTACATTTTTCTTCTTTCCAAACGGAGGTTTATTATATACGGATTCCTTCCGGTTAACTTGCGGCAATATATCTTCGTTAATCGTGCACGACATAATCTGATCCAAGACGTGTTTAAACGGGCCGGGCTCCCAATCGAACACCCTTATTTGAAGCCCGACTTTCTCGTCCACCTCAGATAAGTAAGCTTCATGGTATCGAGTTACGAGCCCCCACACGGGATTTGTCGGGTGGAACAAGTATCGACCCAAGAAGTGGAAAACAGTTTCCTTATTAGGAAAGAGATCGTGGAGCTCACGTTCGAAAGAAGGAATCAAGAAAAGGGAGGGAATGAAGTAATTGTTAGTCTTCATTACGAGCCACGGTATCTTTTCGAAATGCGCTTGATCTCGATTGCAAAAGAAGAGCTTGTCTTGGTGGTCATAATCGTGAACGAGATGAAGATAGACGTACGGTTTTGGTTTTACATTTACGACAGACGAATTAGCCGTTTTTTTGAGTAAATTTCCATAACTCTCGTCAGATTTCTGGTTAAACCTGTCGAATTTGTGGGTCAACGGGAAATCGGGAGGCAGAAGCCAAGAAGCTTCCGGAAAGGGCTCGCAGAAGAGATCGGGAATGTCGAGGCCACGGTCAACGAGTAAGACTCGTTCGGTTAGAAGCGCGTAGAGAAAAGCAGAGGCCAGAGTCAAAATTCGGTTACCCAAGCCGCTGAAGGATATCCAGACGGCATACTTGCAGTCGAGCGTGTGCCAGCTGTGTTTGCCGGATTGATTGAGAGTTTTGACGGTTTGGTTGTATTGATAGGTGTGGGGCCCACATTTCTTGTGTAGAGCTTCGTAGCTTCGTAACTTGGATATGAGGTAAGGGGAAGGCTTCCATGGAGTCCCTCGACGGTATAACAGCGATTGGTACCTACTGACGCAGGATTTTTCGTCAAAGCCGGTCGGGAGAAGGTCGCCGAGCAGCTTATCCTTTGGCACTTCAATCGGTTGAGCAATAATATCGTCTTCTTGTAGTATAGCTGTGAAAAAAATGGAATTAAAATGATTGAAACAAATAAGAAGATGAAGAATCCATTCCCTGCCCTTAATATTATAAGAAAAGGCAACAACAAAAAAAGCAACATTTTCGGTCCTCTACTATAAAAAATTGCATACTATATTATACTTGCTACGCATCATTCAAATCAAAAGAATTTGATAAAAAAAACTTCAAACAGTGAAAAAGATGGGAAATTTCACCATATGTGCCTACACCAAAGTTGGACGGTCCGATCAACACACGAGTCTGTGTGTGTATGTGATCTGACGGTAGGGTGAAATTCTCATAAAAAGATAGCCCTGATTATCTCACTAATCAGAAAAACCCAATAAATGACAGAGAAAAAAGCAGTAAACAGGAGCAGCTTTGCAGGCATAATGACAAAAACTACTCCAAGACACCATACAAAAACAACATCACGCGAAAAGATCACCTTTTTTAACCTTAAAATCAATGTTCCTGGCTTCAACGACAGCACAAAGAGAATCAAACGGCGGGTCCCTCAAAACGGAGAACAAAACCGTGAAACCAATCACGAAAACCAGAAATAAACCCATCAATTTCATCAGATTAAACCTGGAGACGACATCGCCCCTGTGATCGGACGGCGGCGCGGGTTCGGGTTGGCCGCTGCCGTTGGAAGTAGTGGAGGCTTTGCAGGACCTTTTCATAGTCGCTAGTGGTGGGGTTGCATTCAAAACTCAGGATTTTGTCATTTGTGATGACAATTTAAGGGTAATTGTTGTGGGTTGACTCAGTTCTTAATTAACTGTACCGTCGAAAAAGTACGTGCGGTTGGCGAATTTTCCGAGGAATTCGTACACTGTGTCCCGAGTCTACTCATCAATGTTTTCATCGTTTATCTCGCACGCGCACGTACATACAGTTCGGTGTGCAATGTACATATGTGAACAGTGAAATCTACGTAAAATTTGTGTGATTTTCTTCCGTTTGTTTGAAGAAAGGAGTGAACTAGCTAATTTCATAAATATAATTAGCCCGTCAAGCTTAAAATCCCCACAAGAAAATAACCCTCGTCCTTTTGTTGTTGCGCCTCTCCTTCGTCGAGGGACCGCGGTTCGACCCAAACAGGCCCGAATTCGGCATGTGGTCAACGGGCCTTGAACCGAGTCCGTAGTTTGACCGGGCCAATTTTAGACCACATGTTTGTAATTTGAGAAAATTACCTCCCATACAATCCCTTGCATAAATAATATCATATGTACGACTAAATAGAACTTTCATCAAAATTACGAATTGTTATAATTAAAATAATATTAATAATAGATTAGGTGGTTTAAATTTGGGCTGATTAACCGTTAAGTGATGTTAATTAGACTAATTAAGTCCGAAATTATTGTCAGTTTCAAATAGAATCAAACCTTCTTACGTGAATATCGGGAAAGTTGATTTCCTACCTTTACACTCAACCGAAAAAAAAAAGAAAAGAAAAGATATCACTCTATCTCTCTCAATATCTCGGCCATAGTGCAGTTCTTATCTCTCCCCAAAAAATTTTCCTCTCTCTCATACACACAGAAAAACCTTAATATCTCAACACAAAAAAATTGCATCTCTCTAATAGAACAATGTCAAAGCAAACAAAAATTGAGGGCAAACCATCCAACATTGAAGACGAAGCAAGGATAACCCTCTCCCAATCTCGTCACATCGCGAAAAAGAATGACATTGCGAACAAGGGTAAGGGTAAGATGGTAGATTCTTCAGATTTGCAACAAGAGTCGGATACGAAATTTGGTCTCGAAGACGATGAAGGCCAAGCAGTTGGCATTGAGGAGGGTTATTGTGAATCATCTGATCAACCAAAATTTTTACAAAGAATAAAAATAAAAAGTAAAACCGTTAGCGGCAGTAACGTGGTATGTTAAATGGAGCGAGCCAATCAGTTGCCGGTGAATTCTTCAAATAAGTTGTTAAATTCATGGTTTTTTTAAGTTGAAAGAATCGGTCTTGGATGTATGTGTACTGAGATACTATCTTTTTTTTTTTTTTTTTCCTTATTTGTTATGTTTTGAGGTTCGTTTAGTTGGTTTTTGATTGTGCACCTGTAAGATTAGAATATTCAGGTTTTAATTATAATTTTCTATTGAAAGTGGTTTTATTTTTTATAATGCATATGATACCTTGTGAGTTTGTGGTGTTTATTTAATGTTTATATTTCGGTATATTAAACATGATTGTATATGTAATAACATATAGATTGAATATACTTTAGACGTTAAACAAAGTATACACCATCTTGTTTTTGCAAAGTTTAAAAAAATGTAGGTAAATCATAGTCAACATATAACACAATTCAACGCCTATTATAGTAGGATTTCCGAAGAAGGTGATAGTACATTTTTTTTATCCGTATGATTAACAGTAATTATATTGTTTATTTACAGTTTATGTTTTAGTGTAAAATAATAGAATTATTGTAGTAAACATATACGAATAATAACCTTAGTTATACTTTACAATATAAGTAAATATTTCACAATATATACTTTAATTTTAACATACTACAAACTTATGCTAAATAAGGTATATGTTGCATATACTTCAACCATTGTCTTGGTTAACATCAAGTATATCTTCAGTATATTTTATTGTTTTTGTCATAGTATCTGCTACATGTTCACGAACCTTATGAAAAACCCAAAATCATCATCACTGGTGTTCCATCTCTCGGTTGCACACATCTTAATGAGGTTATATTGCATTCATACACTGATACGATGTTGGTATGATGCTACCAACATGCGAGGTGGCATTGCTTGACTCATTAAAGAACATACACAAGTGTTCTAGAGTTGTTTATCTCCTGTTTATCTTCCGTATATTTTGCTGTTTTCAGCATTGTATCTGCAGCATGCTCCGCATTGTTTTCAGCATTGTATCACAATATCCGAACTCATACATCCTTCCACCACATTTTTAAGTGTTCTAGAGTTGTTTATCTATTGTTTATCTTCCGTATACTTTGCTGTTTTCAGCATTGTATCTGCAGCATGTTCGGCGAATACTCTGTAAAAACTCCGACTTGATAGTTCATGTATTCATTGTTGATCCACACTCCATTGTGATGTATAAACATATTGACATCAGTCATGTTCCTGTAAAATAAACAGATTTACTAAATAAATATTCAAGTTTACACCAATATCATTTGTGTTTACTTTCTGTATATATTACGTTTAAATATTTAAAAAATAAAATATAAAAAAAAAGTAAAATGCGTACATTAATCTCGTACTTGATCACCAACCCCCAAAAAAAAAAAAAAAAAAAAAACATATACATGAATATACCTTCGAATTTTTTGGCTCAGCGTATATTTCCGATCAATTTCACACACCAACACGATCGTTTTTTCTTTCCCAACTGATTGGTTTTTGTTTTTCGACTGAAAGAGAGAGATGATATGTGAGTCCCGTTTCAAATTTTGAATTTGATATTCACTGAATTTTGAGTCCCGTTGGATCGCTTTGTGCAGCCATATGACGACCTATTGTCTTTTCTTTTCCTGTTATGGGGCAACTCAGTTCGCTTTGTTCATCTTTTGTGCGTTGATTTCGGGAGAATCATGCCATGATCAGTAAATGGAGAGAGAGACCGTATCAGATTTGATTAAATCAAAATCTCGTACTAATGAAATTAAAATCACAATATATTCCTGTTTTGATTAATATTGTCAATGGATGTATATATGTAAATATATACACATGGGGATACATGTCCGTAATTTTCCCTTGTAATTTTTGAATTGTCGGGTCAGTTTCGAATTGGAACCCATGATTTGGTTTTTTTAAAAAAATATTATTTTAATTTTTTTTAATGAACTGGGTCGAAACCACCGATTCACCGAACCGCCTGTATATATTTTTGGGCCGATTTAGGGCCTTCAAAACCACGGCCTAGAATCCGCCCAAGACCGCTTTTGGCCATGTCTAGATCCCGCTAGGCTTCTGAGTTTTTGTATTCGCGTGGTGTTTCGCCGAAAAAACTGGTGGCCATGGCGGGGGTGGGGTCCAACGACGGTCTCGTGGAGGTGGGCATTGTCAACTGCCTTGCAGCGGTCATTTTTTATATCGATACCTTGGTGTTTCCCTTTTCTGGCCTTTCCCTCGTGTTGGGATGGCGAGTCTCTCCGGTGGTGGTGGTGTTGCGACTCTCGATTTATGCGTAGGGAGTGTTGTGGTGCGGGTATCCTGGTGTCGACTCTGCGGTGAACTGTTGAGAGGACTTTCGGGTTGTTGGTCCGGATCTAGTTAGTCGTAGGGAGAGTTTCTAGATCCTTTGTGTTGGACCACTGGCCATGTCACTTTCTTGGTTATTTGCGTTTGGGTACTAGTTTGTGTGAAGGTGATTCGGGGTTGGTTTTTCAGAAGTTGGAGAGGACTTTAGTCTAATTATTAGTTGTTTTCTTGTGGTTTTTGTGTGTTTTCTGTGTTTTGTGATTTTTCTGTGTTTTTATTCTCCTGTTGTAGTTTGTATTCTCCATTTGTGGAAGTTTTTATAATTTTTTAGTGTTTGTTTGTTCTTGGTTGGTTCTAGGCTAGTTTTAGTGTAGCCCTCCTAACTAGATTCGGCTAGATGACTGATTTATTCACCTGGTTAGCCGTTGTTTATTATGGAATTATATGTTGTTTTATTTATAAAGTCTATGGTTTCGAGAAAAAAAAAAGGAAGAAGAATGAGATAAAAAATCCCGATCTTTATTTTTAATGGTTGAATCTTTCTTTAATTAATCAATATGTGATATTTTGAATTCTCATTATTATTGGAATCCAAAGGATCTTGTGAATTAAAGTTGACTAGTACAATATCCTTGTACTACACGGGTGTTGAGTTAAAAAATATAGGATAAAAAGTATTGTTAAAATAAAATTTTTATTTAAAATTTTGATGAACTGGTTGATGAAAAAAAAAGGAATAGAAAGTGCATAAACTGATTTGGAAATCGTAATTTAGGAGAGAAATATAGGAGAAAATTATAAAATGGTAAGATTGTTACTTGACCAAAATAAGAAAGAAATTTATACTAAGAGAAAAAAATAACAAAACTAACTGTACACTTACCAAATTGGAAAAAAGTTATTTATGTCTAATACCAAGCCTAATTCCAGAGCAAAAATAATACACAAACAACATTCCGAAGTATAGATTTTCGTCATGTCAGCATCCGAAGCGTGTGAGTCTACCATTTAGACTCAGCACGTTTTGAAATAATATATAGGAAAGGAGTGTAAGAATGATCGATTAATATTATTTAATTATATTGATCATATTGAGGCGAGTTGAGTTGGATTAAATTTGAGTTGAATTTTGAGTTAAAAGGGTGTAAAAAAAATCTAATCGATTTTAATCAGTTACCAATCGCATCCTAAATTTTTCACTGAATGTATCATTACACATTAAGCCTAAAAGAAAACCCTCCTCTCTCTTTTAAAGAAAACCCCTCTTATGTGAATTGTCGCTGCCTCCCTTTTCCACTGGTGGGACACTGCACCTTCTAGGTCAGCCCTGGCCGAGTCGCGGCTGGAGTCATCCCTTCCTCTCCAGAGCTATGCAGGCGACCTGGTCTGTTGCAACTCTCGCCGCCCGCAAATCTTACAGGCTTCGGAGGGGGTCACCGATTGCCGTGTCTAGTCTCAAGTCGTGGGAGTCCGCTTGTCCATAGGAGTTTCGATCTTGTGCACCTTCAACTCTGCACCCAGGGGGTTGTGGCCGCCAGGCTGTAAACAACCATGGGAGGTTTGTTGGTCCGCCAGTCCGTCGAGCTGTCGATCCCCTGGGTTGCTTGGCTAAGTGCAGGCATGGAAGGTCCCTCTTTGGGTCCTGTTTTCGAGCCCTCCAGTGTGTTCGTTGTGGCTCCTCATCCATTCCCTGGCGCTGAAGTTCTTCAGAGCACCGATCTGGATAGAGAACGGTATCCTTGGCCAGATCAGTCTAGGCAGTTCGAGTTCAATTTTCGGGTTTGGGGTCTAGATTTATTGATTTGTTGTGGTTCTTTGCCGCGGTGTGTGACTCGGTTGTCAGTATGAGTTGTCGTTTGGTTCTCCTGCTTTGTTTAGGGGAGATTTTATTCTAACTCTTTATTAGGTGCGTGTTGTTCTTTTGTCTTTGTTTGTTTTTGTTTTGTTAAGTCCAGTCGCGTTTGGGTTCTAGACTCCTTAATGGAGTTAATATCTCCTTTATGAAGTTTATTTTTCGATTTTGTGTGTCTCCTTGATGGAGTTTGTACCTCGTTGAACACATGTGTCATTTCAAAAGGTTAATCCAGACTTTGTTTTGATTCTTTTGATATCAGTTGACTCATCGATTATACTTTTTTGAGTTTTTTTAATTTTTAAGTTATTATTATTTATC